AAGTCTGAGGAGGGACTTTTTTCTATCCATAAAATAGAGACAGAGAGAGAAGCAATTGCTTTCACTAAGTACTTGATTCCCTAAAGCACTAATTTCAGAGTGGTGGGGTGGGGAGAGTGGTAATCATTTTCATAGATGCTTTGAGCAAGAAGGAACTCATATAGCCTCACACAGATTCCAATTTTCTTTCAACCCCATGATAAAATACAGATCTCTCTGTTCATTTATTTGTTCTATTATTTGAGACTTATTAAAATTAAGCTGTAGCTATAGATTAAAATACTTAGTAATTATTTTCATGCTAGTTGAAAAGCCTAGACATAAAACATGACTTAAAATACAATTAAAGACTGAAACCCATTTTATCTTGATGTGTTAAAAATAATACTGAAATAATGATGTTACCAAAGGCAAAGCATCTCTGATGTATTTATTTTTAGGTGGAGCCAATAAAAAATTCTCCTGGTTTTTATGAATTTGATCTGAACCTTGAACACTGAGAATGATTTGTCTAGGTGGAGAAGAGAGAGGAGAAAGTTATGTTAGGATTTGTTCTAGTCTCTTAAGATTCTTGAGTAAGCATCCCAAATATGTTCTAGGTCCACTTCTGGGCTCTTAGAAAATAAATTACATAATTTTATTTTTCAGTCTATTTTTATATAATTTGAAAGTTCTAAATCACTTTCAATTCTCACTCCTTCCTTTTGTCAGTTCAATCCATTACAAAGAAAAAGGCAGGGTCTCTGGTACAGGAGAGGGGAGAGAGCAGATCTATGATCCTGTAACAAAGCAACAGAGATTAGTACCTGAAGGTTTAAAAGAGATTTAGGTCAGTCAAACTCACTGCATATCCGTTTCCTGCAGATCTATCCAATAAAGGAGAGAAAAGACCGCACTCGCCTGGCTCTCATCATATGCAATAGAGAGTTTGATCACCTTCAACCCAGGCAGGGGGCTGACCTTGACATCACAGGGATGAGAGAGTTGCTTGTGGGCCTTGGCTACCGTGTGATTGTGAAAGAGAACCTCACAGCCAAGGTAAGGGCTCCTCACGCAGTGTATACAACCTCCTACTAACAAACTAACTTTGTAATGATAGCCAAATGCTTTAACCACCTTAGGCCACATATCTCTCTGTGTGTGCACCTGCACATGAGTATGTGTGTTTGTAAAATGAAATTATTATATAGGGGAAATCTCTGTCTCTTTGGGCTCCAAAGATCCTCAATTCCATAAAACTAGACAGAAAGTGCCTGGCATGTATACCCACATAATTCTCACTTCCAAAGTGAGGTGAATGGGATTCAGACCCAACATTCCCAGAAAATTCTAAAGTAATGAAAGTTTAAAAGGCATGTAGTCACCATATAAATACTAAGTCCTGACTTGGTCCCAGGGCCTATTTTCAGCATTCGGGGTAGGTCTGTGAATGAGCATGATATTCCAAGTTCAAATTGATTTAGGTTTACTGGTGTTTTGCTTTTC